TCCGGGGCAGTTTAAAGCGCATCGTGCGTCGCCAGAGACCCCTGGCTGACGTCTTCGGGGTGTCTCGAGACCGCCCGGGGCCGCCAGGATTGCTGCTTGAGGGCTGACCGGGGCGATTTTGAGCCTCCCAAAGGCGGGCCCGGGCCCCGGTGCCCACATTTGTGGTCGAGGCTCTGGCCCTTGGCCCCCGAGCCTGGTGCGCCGTTATACGTATATTTGGACGCCCGATATGGGTACGGGAAAATGGGTACAATGCCCAACAACAAATGTTGTCCCAAACCAACAGCGGCCGCTGTTGGGCAGGCGGCCTTCTGTCTCAAATGGACACAGGCCGCGGCGGCGCGGACAGCGAGTCCTGAACAGGAATTGCTGTTGGGCATTGTACCTATTCTTCGCGTACGTACCCATTCCGTTCGTGCAGAGCATAGGTATGTTGGGGTGACGCCAGTGACCCGCTCGACCCCGTCCTTGGAGTCCTTGGAGTCCCTGAACCACACCATCGCGGCAGGCGGCCCGCCGGCGGCGCCCCGGGCGGTCCACCAGAGGCCGCCCCCGCCCTGTGCGCGGGGGGGGCGCCCCACACGGGGGGCGGGCGCTGCCCTGAGCACGGCGGCTATGCCCACGACGGAGGGCGAGGGTGATGTCGTTCCCATCGTACTTCAAGGACCACATCCCAGAAGTACAGAGTCCACCAGGGTCATGAGGATGCGCGGCAAGGATGCAGGGGCCTCGGGACGCCAGGTCGACGTTTTCCGCGCGGAGCGCAGCAGAATGCCGAAGGATGCCGAAAACCAAAGGGGCAAGGATGCAAGGGTAGCCTTGGAGAGTTGCCCCCTCCTTGCTATCATGGTTGGCTGTATGTTGTTTCCACCGCACCTAAGGACCACATCCCAGAAGTACTCGCGAGCACCCGGAAGGAGTATCGACAAGAGTGTCGAACGAGTGTCGCCCCACAGGGCACGACACGCGAGCACCCTCCAGCTTGGGTGCTTCCTTGGTGCTCGGATTTATTTCTGAAGGGGGTCACGTGCGAACCCTACCCCTACCCCCCACGATTTCTGGGGGGGAGGGTGAGGTTCACTTCGCTCGCCCCCTATTCTGGTGGTCAAGGCTGAAGTAGGATGGAACATCATAAGACGAGGGACGGAAAGGATGGGGCTGAGAGGCACCACGCTGCGGGCTCCTCGTGCTCCGCACACGGGGCACTCCTGGACACCGCCCGCGCGGTGGGCTGCACCGAGAGGTTCCCGGCCAGGCGGCGGAGGAGTGCTGAAATCTGAGATGTAGCTGAGGACGTTGGGTCCCAGCTCAGCGTCAGGTCGGGCATGTCCTCCTACAGGCGGATTCGGATTTCGGGCGAAAATTGAACAGCCAAAACATCTTCAAAAATACTGAAAATAGTCGACAGATCGTCCCCAGACTGTTTGTAAGTAGTTTTGAACATTCCTCCTGTAGAGGGACACGCCCGACCTGAGCCTAGCGCCGGCCTGCCGCGCAAAAAACCGTGCGAGGAGGGCGAGCACGACAGCAGGGGGACGATGACGAGGAGCACGACGGTGAGGAAGAGGGAGGAAGAGGAGGAGGCATGGCATGAGCAAGAGAACGAGGAGTTCCAGGAGAAGGAAGCCCCGACACCCTCGAGGAATGAGAATACCGTGACGGTAGGTTCTTCTACATCTTCGGCCTCTGGGGACGCTTATGGGGCCGCAGGGCCGTCACAAAACGACTGAGGATGAAAAACCGGTCCCAGGGAGTGGGTCGACATCCTTGGGGGACGACGTTACGTAAAAATCATGACGTCAGGGGCCTGGGGAAGGAGCATCACGATGACGATGAGGTTGTCAGCGGCGAAAAGGGGAGAGGAAGGAAGATGCCATGGAAGGAGCAGCAAGCAGTAAAACGACGAGGAAAGGGGGGCCAGGAGGATTAGGAACGAGAGGAGGCAGATCAGGAGGACGGAAAGCTCGGTGACGAGGGAGGAGGATGAACAAGAGGAGGAGAGAGGAGGTGCCGTGGCCGCACCTTGGGAGAGCGGCCAGGGCTGCATCCTCGTGCAGACAGGCGCAGCCACAACCTCCGACTACCTCATCGACTTGTACCTCAGATGGCCTTTATCGCCGTTCAATCGTTCCTTATTATCCCTTTACCTCTTGGTCGTCTTTGCCCTCCCCCGGAGTAGGCCGGGAGGGGGGAAAACGAGGACTCCATTGCATCGTGCAGATCGGTCCGCAGCTCGATACTCAAAGCAAGAGGAGGAGAAAGGGGATGAGCACGAGGGGAATGATAATACAGAGGAGGCGGAGGAGGCGGAGGAGGATAATTGCGACGTCGACGGCATTCGCAGCGACAGGGCCGACAATTTTCGGTCGCGGATGACCTGGGTTTCCCGCCGTGGAAAAAAGGGGCAAGCCCCGGCGAAGCGCCAAAAGTAGCCACCCTGGCGGGACCAGGAGGCCCTCACAGCGTGCCTGCTCACTCGGTGCTGCTCCCTTGCTCCCCATAAAACAAAACCCTCGATCCTCGATCCGAGGATCGAGGACCGAATGGACCAGGACCGAATAGACGGTCGAAAAATCGGTCTCCCAAAAGACCTTGATCCTCGATTCGAGCATCGAGGCTCTTTCCTCGAGCCCTCGGGATCGAATCGAGGATCAATCCTACAATCGTGGATCGAGGACTGGCTGGACGGTCGAAGCAGCGATCTCCTAAGGTTCGATCCTCGACTCGAGCATCGATTGAGCATGACCGACCGTCCCAACATTCCTGTAGGCCTACAACGACATGTTCGTAAACCCCAAACATGTTCTACGAATCAAACCCGTGTTCCTGGGGAGCGTGAAGCTGATGTGCGCAAACGAGACAGCCCCAGCCAGACATGTTCTGAGAACACTTCGTGCAAAACCACAAGAGGCTCTTGGAACATCCTCTGGTGGGCCTGTGCTGTAGGCAAGCCAGGACTCCTCGCTACTGCTAGCATCGAGACCTCTTGCCTCGAACCTCGGGTCTCCTGGCACTTCTGTGAAGGGGCCCACAAACACACAAATAAATACACACAAATAATATGATCCTCCATATTTTCATATATTGTCTGTGTTTTTGTCTTTCCCCCACTTCCCATATTTTCCCATGTTTTCTAAGGAATCGACGATTAATTGTGTCTGTGTTTTTTTCCCCCCTCCTGACTCTGGGAAGACAGAGGGCCAGCGGAGACAGCGGCTGCTGGCCCCCCCTCGGCCAAGGATCCGCTCGGCGAGGGACTCGGCGGCGAGCGAGGGGGGGAAGTGAGGAGGAGGAGGAGGAGGAGGAGGAGGAGGAGGAGGAGGAGGGGGAGGAGGAGGAGGAGGAGGAGGAGGAGGAGGAGGACGGGGAGGAGGAGGAGGAGGAGGAGGAGGAGGAGGAGGAGGGAGGAGGAGGAGGAGGAGGAGGAGGAGAAGGGGGGGAAGGGAGGAGGAGAAGGTCTCCTCAGAAGGTTCGGAGGCCCCCCCCATGCCTTCTGAGACTTTTTCTGGGCCTTCCCCGAGGACAGAGAAAGACAGCTCGTCAGAAGGCGCGAAGGAGCCTCTGAGAAGTCCCGCCGCCATCCATCTGAGAAGACCTTCTCCTTCTCGTTCCGGGGGCGTCCAAGCGGGGGGCGTCCAACAGGGGGGGGGGGCACAAATCATGGCTGGCGGCACGTGCGCGGCCCAGGGGGGGCGGCGGGGACGTGCTGAAACAAGAAGAGGCGCCATGGAATCTGGGGAGATATCACGGCCCCCGCCCTGACATCCCCCCCCCCCTTGTCATCGCCCCCCTCTTGGCCGCCCCCGATTGTTTCCCCCTCTCGCTCGTTGCCGAAGGACGTCCCCGGCCCTCCCCCCGGCTCTGTGCACCAGCCTTTAACGTATCCCTGTCCCTGTGCTGGACGTCGCCTCTTCACGATGCCGATCTTAGGGATCCCCTTACTTTCGGAGGGCGTACCCCAAAGATTGTCGTCGCCGTGTGGCGTGCCAATCTTAGGGATAGTGATACACGTCGTTCTTTTCTAATCGTGGTCATTTCTAATTGCGCTCGTTTCTAATTGCTCTTGGTCCCCTAGTGGCCAGGACGAGGCCCAGGATAGAACAATTGGAAATGAAGGGATCTTGGCCCCCCAATAAATCAAACAACGTTCGAATAATTAGAAATGAACAATGTTGAAGGGGCCCTGGGACACACAAATAAACACACACACATATAACAGGATTCCTTCTATTATCCTATATTTTCTGGGCTTTTGTCTTCCCCCCCACTTCCCATATTTTCTAATCTTTTCTGGCGAATTAGCGATTCGTTGTGTCTGTGTGCTTTTGTCCCTCCAAAACAATATTGAAGCTCGAGGCCGGTGGTCCGTGCCGCCGAGCCCTCCGGAGCCCATGCCCCGCCGACTGTGACGGCGAGAGAGGGCCACCACCCGGGGGGCCCACGGAAACGGGAGGCCCCGCACAGGCAACGCCGGAGAGGGCCGCGGCGGCCTCGCCGGCACCTCTCCTCCTCCTCCTCCTCCTCCTCCTCCTCCTCCTCCTCCCCCTCCTCCTCCCCCTCCTCCTCCTCCTCCTCCGAGGAGGAGGAGGGGGAGCGACCCCTTGCTCTGGGAAGCAGCCTCGGCCCTCGAGCCACGAACTTCGAGATCCGATCGTCGTCGTCGTCGTCGTCGTCGTCGTTGCCAGCGTCGTCGTCGTCGCCAGCGTCGTCGTCGTCGTCGTCGTCGCCAGCGTCGTCGTCGTTGCCAGCGTCGTCGTCGCCAGCGTCGACGTCGCCAGCGTCGTCGTCGTCGTCGTCGTCGTCGTCGCCAGCGTCGTCGTCGTTGCCAGCGTCGTCGTCGCCAGCGTCGTCGTCGCCAGCGTCGTCGTCGTCGTCGTCGTCGTCGTCGTCGCCAGCGTCGTCGTCGTTGCCAGCGTCGTCGTCGCCAGCGTCGTCGTCGCCAGCGTCGTCGTCGTCGTCGTCGTCGTCGTCGTCGCCAGCGTCGTCGGCGCGCACGGCGCCTCCGGCGGCCCTGCGCGCCCCCCGCCGCTGCCCCCGGCGGGCTCTCGCGCGGCGGCTTCCGGCGCCGGCTGGGGGAGCGGCGCCGGCGAGTCCTCAACCTCATGGGCGGGCGCAGGCCGGGGCCAGAGCCTCAGATCCCCAACGACCAGGCTTGTCCTATGTCGGGCGTGTCCCCCTAAAAGGGGATCTTCAACGAAAAATCAAGAAAAACCCTAAAAATGCCCCAAGAAGGTCAAAAAAACTAAAACAATAGTCCCCGGACTATCTTTGGACTATTTCGTGATTAGTTTTTGGGTATTTTAAATTTTTCATCGAAAATCCCCCTGTAGGGGGACAGGCCCGACTTAAGGCCAGGGCCAGAGTCTCAGATCCCCAACGACCAGGCTTGCCCCAGCGCGGCGTCCTCCGCTTCCTCCTGGACGCCCTCGGGACTTTCCATCGCGGTGTCCTCGGCGTTTTTATTCGTAGCTGCTACTACTTAAAACAATGTTTTTTGTTTACACAAAAAAAAAGAATATCTCTCAACGGCGTCCTCGCTTGCGGCCTCCGGGGCGCGAGGACGGGCCACGGGGCCCTCGAGAACAGGGCTGGGACGTAGAAGTACTCCAGATTTCGTAATATAGGGAGGTGGGTCTCATTTCGGGGGGGGTCTCTTCCAGGCTATCTTGGAGGGCCTGGGGGGGCCTGGGGACGATGTTTTGTAGGGTTCTCCCACGGGGAGGGTCTGAAATGGCTTGTCTTGGAGGGTCCAGACCCCCTCCCTTTGATTGCGAAATCTGGAGTAAACTTCTTGCCGCTGGTGAAGGGGTCCTCGCTTGCGGCCTCCGGGGCGCGAGGACGGGCCACGGGGCCGTCGAGAACAGGGCTGGGACCTAGAAGTAAACTTCTTGCCGCCGGTGAAGGGGTCCGGGGAGCTCCGGAGCCGCGCATCAGGAATCACGTCGCCAGACGTCCGGGAGGGCAACGGCGGCGGCGGCGGCGGCAGCGGGGGCGGCGACGAGGGCGGGCGGCGGTGACGTCGACGATGAGACGACGACGACGACGACGCCGACGACGACGACCACGACGACGACGACGACGACGACGAGGACGACGACGACGGCGGCGCCTCCTCGACCTTCGGCTGGGGGGAAACGACGACGAAGAGGACCACGACGACGACGACGACGAGGACGACGACGGCGGCGGCGCCTCCTCGACCTGCGGCTGGTAGGGAAAAACAGGACCTGGGCATCAGAGGAGTGCGTTCTTCAATCCGAGCATATGTCGCAGTCTCGGTCTCGTGCTTTCGTCTGCTTGGCCTCCCGACTCCTGCTCCATCAGGCATTGATCCAAGGATCCAGGAAATGCAAGATTACCCCCAAGAAGAAAGAAGAGGGTCGGAAACTCTGGGGCAGCGGATTGAAAAACACGTCGACGGATGTCTGGGTCGCTCGGGCCGGCGGAAGGGCTGCCCACAAGTCGGACTTCTGAGCGCTGCATGTTTTCTTCACGCATGACGTTCGTGTTGCCTCCTCACGGGCCCCATGGGTTCTCACGAATCGGTCCGCCTCGAGACATGCAACGGAGAGACGAGGTCGAGGCCACTGGTCGCCAGTGTTCACGATGTTCCATTGCTTCGCGACGTCGGAGATCGCGACGTGGAGTCCATGGTGCCACAGCCCCCGCAGTTGCGGATATGGGCGAGGGGGCGGGGGGGGCGTCAGCAGTCTGCGGGGCTCGAAAGCACATGTGAAAGAGCCCGCCGCGAGTGCAGATCTTTCACACATCACACAAAGACCCGCCGCCGGCGCCGATTCTCTGCGAGCGCAGCGTGGGTGGGTCGCGGGTGAGTCGCGGGTACGTTGCGGGTGGGTCGAGGGCGAATCGCGGGCGCGTCGCGGGTGAGTCGCGGGTGAGTGGTAGATGTGTAGTGGATGAAACGGCAGCTGGTCGCAGGCGGGTCGCGGGTGGGTTGATTGCGGACAGCGGGCGAGCACGACTGCGACAATAACAGGCAACAATATTTGCCAGCGCGGACCCCAAACAGAAAATTATTGCACCCTGGATGTGGAAGCTATGTGGTTCAGTCTGTGTGGTACAGTATCTGTGGTACAAGCTACGTGGTGCAACCCACTTCGACTGTCTTGAAGCTGTCCTCTCCACTGCTCGTGCAAACATCCCACCCTCCCACCCGCAACTTGGTCGCAAGACATCTTCAGACAAGACCGTGACGGTAGGTACTGCGTGGCACTTGGCCACGACACCGATGCCGACGACGACAGCGACATCGACGACGACGGCGCCGCCGACAGCGACTGCGACGACACCGACGACGTCTCCAATGTTTTCGACGACGACAACGACGACGACGACACCGACGACGACGACAACGACGCCGACGACGACGACGAAGACGACGACGACGTCGCCAACGGAGACGACGACGAGGGAGGAGAAAAAACGACGACGGCGACAACGACGACAACGACGATGGAGGAGGGAAGACGGCGACGACGCCAACGACGAAGAAGGAGGAAGGACGGCGACGCCGACGACGACAACGACGAGGGAGGAGGGAAGACGACGACGATGACAACGACGACGAAGACGACGACGACGGCGACGAAATAGGAGGGACGACGACGAGACGCCGACGACGGACGACGACGACGAGGGAGGAGGATAACGACGAGGGAGGAGTGAAGACCACGACGACGACGACGACGACGACGACGGCGACGAAATAGGAGGGACAACGACGAGACGCCGACGAAGACAACGAGGGAGGAAGGACGACCACAGCGAGAAAGACGACGGAAACGACGACGACGCCATAGACGACGAGGAAAGACAGAAGACGACGACGGCGACGACGACGACGACGACGACGACGAGGGAGGAGGGAGGACGAAGACGACGACGACGCAAGAGCGCGCGCGCACAATTTTGTTGAAAACCCGTGTTGCGAAACCTTGTGTTTTTGTAGGTTTTTTGGACGCACGATTTCGAAATTCTTCCGAAACCGAAGGTTTTTGAAGGATTTCGGCATACGCCCGCGACGACGCGCGCGTCTGCACTTCGTCCCGTTTTTTGCAAAGGATTCTCGCGACGGCACGCGCGCAAGAGCGTTCGACAGATTTCGACATGCGCGCGCGCGAAGCCCGCTTGGTAGCAGCATGTTGTGAAAATCTTGGAGAACCTATGGTTTTCTTAAGATTTCGCAAGAGCTCGCGCGTAAGTTTGTTTTTAATCAGTGTTGCGAAACCATGTGTTTTTATATGTTTTTTGGAAATTCAATTTTGAAATCTCTCCGGAACCGAAGGTTTTTGAAGGATTTCGGCATGCGCGCGCCACGACGCGCGCGTGTGCACTTCGTCCAATGTTTTGCAAGGGATTCGTGAAAAAGTGCTATGTTGGAACAAAAAATGTCACCGCATAGTGTTTTTTTTACAAGGGAACCGCAGGGGGGGGAACCTGGCTTGGCTGGGATGGTATGAATTCATATTTAGGATGGACATGTGGTCAGAATCATATGTAATTTACAGCACGCGCGGGGGAACCGATAAGTCCGGGGGGGGTAGAATCTATTAGTCTTTTAGAAAGGAGAATCCATGTGGTCCAATCTGTGAGGTGCAATATGCGAGGTGCAAGCTGTGTGGTGCAAGCTGCGGGGACCGATGTGCGTGTTGCAATATATGTAAGCCATGTGTTGCAAGCCATGCCGTTACGTTGTGCGAGCTGTATGGAGCAAGCTGTGCAAAGACAACTGCGTGGTGCAAGCTACGTGTTGCAAGCTACACGGACCAAGGCACATGGTGCAATCGACGAGATGCAGCCCACATGATGCAGGTCATGCTGCGCGAACTGTCCATATGGTGCAAGTTATGTGGCGCAAGCCCAGAACTTCCATCCAATTTCTTACGGAAGCAAAGAGGAAGCCCTGAATGCAAACACTCATTATCCAATCCGCTCTCCTGAGACGGCGCTGGACCTCCCCCCCTCCGGGCGCGCGGAGCGCGCCAGGGGTGGCGCTGGAAGCGCCACCAGGGGGGGTCAGCGCCGAACAAAGAAATCCGAGGACCTCCGAAGTCTACGCTCCTGTCGCTCTACATTGCTTGAGAGAAGGGGACGGACCTTTTAGTTTCTCCACGCGCAATTCTGAACACCGACATTCTCCTGGACACTGAAGCGCCGTGGCCGCAGCCAGCCGCCCCGGGGGGGAGGAGGAGGAGGAGAAGGAAGAGGAGGAGGAGGAAGGGCAACGGCGATGCGCGACGATTCCCGGCAGGAAGCGCCAGGATCGAGGATCAGAGTTGAACTACGTTTGGGAAGCCTTTTGGGGGCCTTTGGGAGGATTCTCGTCGCCACGGCTGGATTCGCCTGGAAACGTGGTTCAGAACTCACCCCATTGAAGAAGTCCGAGGGGTGATTCTGACACGAGGAAGATTGCCCTGCCAAGATGAGCACGACCTATGGCTGTCAGTTGTCAGAGAAGCAAGCCTTCTTCCCCGGACCTGCCCATCGCACGAGCCAGAAACGGGCGGCAACGTGGCGAAACCTCGCCAGACCCGCCAAGCGCACCGAGGCGGCCACGAGGCGGCCGCGGGCAGCAGCGTGGCGAGACCTCGCCGGACCCACCCAGCGCGCGAGGCGGCCACGCAGCGGCCACGGGCGGCAGCGTGGCGAAACCTCGCCAGACCCACCCAGCGCGCGAGGCAGCCACGCGGCGGTCACGGGCGGCAGCGTGGAACATCCTCACCGGGCCCATCCAAATCCTTTGCAGCACAAGTAGGACCCCCCCCCGCGGCAAACACTGTTCAGGGTAGATGGCAAACGGAAATAACATAGACGAATCCACACCGCGGAACTCCACTTCAGCCACGCACCCCCGGACGGCGTATGACCGTTCGGCCTCCTCGCTCTGATAAAAAATCTCAGGGTAGAAGGGCCAGGGACTGTGGACGACGACGAGGAGCTCAATGGATAGGAATAGCCAGCGAGGCGATAGAATTGCAAAGCCCCACCTCTCCCCGAACCCACCCGCTTTCACACGTGACCCCATCGAGCGGAAAGCGGCATTCCAACTCATCCTCTCTCCGTCTCTCCTCTTCAGAAG